TGATCCTTGTGCAATTCATCGCATAAGGTTTGCATTTAGTTCCCCCAAGTTAGTGGAGAAATCAATCTTCGATGTAACCACATATATATACATATATATACATAACATATAATGGGAGTTTTAAGTGAGTCTAAACTTTTGATGGGAAATATATATGTAGACTTGTCACTTTTGTATTAGATTTCGATTTCTGTGACAGTTGTTCTCTCAGTCTGTGAGACTGCGATGGGTATGAGACTCTTTGAGCGCGGTTGAGTGTCATATTAAGACTAGTTTAGGGGAATATATCATCTCGAAAGTCTGAAGTATGAGACCTGTTTTTTTCAAGTAAATATTCTCAAGCAAAAGTTTTACGGGATTTGTTCGCGAAAGGTCAGACCTGGAAACCAATCCACAAAATCTTTAAAAAATTACTGCTGCATTTTGCTCAACTGAGTTAGAAACTGAAATTATCAAACGATGTAAGGTTGCTGAAGGTTTCCAGAATATTTCTGGAAGCAAGTGTTATCTAAATTTTCTCTTGTGAATAACGTCACCTTTGGTAAATGAAAAGATGTGCCGTGTTATTTCTTCTTGAAATCGAGGTCCTTGGGCATGCAGAATTGCATTTCCTCTTTTTTTCAGATCTTTACTTTGTTACCTTTGCTTTAAGATTTTGACATTCCAAATTCAGTGTGGGAAGATGTCCGGAAAACGGAAGTCCGACCTTTCACGCAGTGTTTGCCCCCGAGTAGCGAAACCCCGGATTCAATAATACCACTATTATACCCCTCAGGTTCTATCTCAACATACAGAAGGCAATATTGTGAGTTGGAATCGTCGCACGTTAAGAGCTTGTCAATTACAAAACACAACTGATAGGTATCTCACACTGTATCCGTCAGTCGGAATTGCTATGTATGCCGTTTATATACACAAAGAACTTTGTTAAGCTCCCCTGACATATCTTACGATTGAATGAGCCCCGATCTAGGGGCACATCTGGGACATAATTGGTCGCCGTGTGCAACAAAGGGATCCTCCTGTGCAGAACCTAGCCCAATTGCAAGCTGCTTTACACGAGGAATGGCGTAGACTGGCCCTTCAGAGGATCAGGAGGTTGACAGGGTGTATGAGGAGGAGAGTGCTGGCTGTCATACAGTCACATGGAGGTTACACTCGGTATTGACCTTGAATCGTATAAGACACGCAAAATGACATTTTGAATGTTCACATTCAGCAATAAATTCAATATTAAACATTCCGGGGCCTTGTACAGACATCAGTATGTCTTTTTGTCATAATAACATCAACATGGATTCCCATCATTTTGTAATTTTTATGAGTCAAAGGATCACACGGGTCAGAAAATTCATGTTTTTCCATCGTGGTCACCACGAGATGTTTTATATACGTGTTGAAAACCTATCAGTGCAAAAATACATGGGGTGCTGTCCGAGCCTGTTGAAGCAGTGACAGGCTAGCCAAGTGGCGTACGTGTTTGCTTGCCCCAGTAGAGCACCAAGTTTTGTTCTCATAATGTCTTTTAACTTAGTTCTTATTTCACGACTAAGCATGTAGGTTGTTGTTTTATCGAAACACATTAAAACACATTTACACGCCAAATGATGTCAATGAATTCTTAATATGGAGGTAATGCATATTTATTGTATATTTCGTTATGTTTGAATTTCTTGAAATCGATGCAAAACTGAACTATCAACTATTACGATAAACTATAGTCTAGAGAATCTTGGTCAGTAAGATGTATGTGTCAACACTATGTACTGTTATGTTCGTGCAAATACATGCAAGTTTTAACATGAGGCCATCTATCAGACGAAAGACCAAACGTGTAAGTTTCGTTCTGTGTAGATCTTCAAATCTTTAACCATAAGAACAGTCTCGCAAGATGACCGCGGAGTAAGTGGTAACGCGAGGTAATATACTCCCAAACAAAAGTCTAGACTCACTAGTGTAAATGTAGCCATTTATTTAACTCAACTGTTCTAAAATATTTTTTGCAAAACTTTCCATACTGTTTAAAGGTACTGTTTACACATGAACTGATGTGTTGTAAAACAAATTTGTAATGTTGAAAAGATTATTCTGATGAGTTCAATAAATGATGAAACTCAGTGAAAATTGACGAATTCGTAACAAACATTTACACCAAAACGCAGCTGTTCACATGCATGCTACTTGCACATGCTTTACATCAATTTGATGCATGATGCTCGTGCAATTCATCTGCATAAGGTTTTCAGTTGGTTCCCCAAGTTAGTGGAGAAATTCATCTCCGATGTAGCCATACATATATACATAACATATAGTGAGTGCTTTAAGTGAGGCAAAACTTTTGAAGGGCAGTATAGCAATACGAATGCTGAGAAGGATTGGTACACCACTTTGCAAGTTTCAAGTAAAATACTGTCAAGCTTACGAGCTGCGTTTAACCTGAAAGACGACCATGCAGCGTATAAACATGTCTGGTTTAGCGGCAACTGAGTATTCTAGGTTGATGAAAAAGACCAATGGCGCGCTGGGATCCAAGACGTCTGACGCCTGGTAGAAACGCTCCAGGTTTACGCTGTCGTTAAAATGTACAATGTTTTCAAGCAGACCCAGGTGATTGTGTTCAGCGATTAACCATGGACCAGCAGTCAGCCCACTGAGACGACACGACAGCCTTGCAATGGGAACATCTAACGTCTCCTCCACAAGATCTCGATATGTGCCCTTTGCTGACAAGATTATGGCTTCGGGGTTTTGGCTTTCCTGCCGGTGTTCTGGTCCAAGTGAGGTCATCGATGGCCAACATTACACTGTCCATATTTTCTGTGTTTCCCATCTTTCACCTGCCCTGAATATTCATTCCGACATGAAATAATAAAAACAAATAATTTCAGTTTTCCCCTGCGCTGAAGAAATGTATCTGATAAAAACAAATACATTTGCCATTGCACACTCATACAGAATTCTGGTCGACCCGTGAAGGTCCGGGCTAGATGGTGCCTTCAGTAACCCATGCTTGTCGTAAGAGGCGACTAACGGGATCGTGCGGTCAGGCTCGCTGGCTTGGTTGACACATGTCATCGGTTCCCAATTGCGCAGATCGATGCTCATGCTGTTGATCACTGGATTGTCTGGTCCAGACTCGATTATTGACAGACCTCGCCATATAGCTGGAATGTTGCTGAGTGCGGCGTAAAACTAAATTCACTCGCCCTCAGAATCCTGGTCAGCTCAATCTTTCTTCAACTTCATTCATTCGAAAAATGTTTCCAAAGCAAAGAGAATTGATCTAAAACGCAAATATATCTAAAGACTATAAGAAAATTTGATAAATCATGCATTTCTCATTTATATGTTTATTCATTTATTATTTCATATGTTCATTCATTCGTATATTCATTCATTCATTCATTCATAAATTCATTCGTTCGTTCGGTCGATCGGTCGTTGGTTCGCTCGAACATTCCGCTCTATTTCTGGATGGAATTATACTAAGCTGTCTTGGAAACTACATGAAAACAAATAGATAAACATCATGGAAACGTCACTAACAGTCTCCTGTTCTTTTGTTGTCATGGCTGGATGACCGTTCCTCATTAAACAGCACCAGTATTCAACAGAGGCGGGATTTCCACCACTTTCAGAACGTGAAGCAAGATGAAAGTTTACCAATTTGGCATGACCTCATTTCCGATTTTGTAGAACAATTTACATCAACCAGAGAAGGGTTTCCGCAGCAGCGACAACCAGAGACTCCAACATCATTGAAGAAAATCCATGGGTATTGGAGATGATTATGTTTTAAGTAAGCAACTTTAAGCTGGGTGAGCTCCAAAACTACAAACAAAGTTACTCAGATGCTTCAAACGTTTTCATTGATAATATCAGCTGAGCTACAAGGCATCTAACACACGTTGCTAAAAGTAAATCTATTTACATATGACAAGATCGTGTGCAGACAGAACACAGCACGGGCCATTTTTTCTCAAGGTGTAATGATCATAGAGCTTTGAATTAAATTTAATCAGAAACCGTATTTCAAAGTCTGATATAGTTGTAACTGAAAGCGCTGCCGTTTATAGTGTGTGAGACATGAGCCGAAATATGTAACACGAACCAGCCAAGGAACCAGTAACAAATGCCGTTGTAGATGTTCTCGTACTTAGATAGCCTCGTTAAGGAAGAATGACGAGTAAGATTTTGAAAAAAGTTGATAAGGTGAGATGAGGTGAAATGGGGTTAGCGTCGCTCTTCAGAATATTTCGCTCGTATGACGACGTGCATGCGTGTGTATATATGGCTGCTTGTACCAGCCCAGACTTAAGCTGGTTTTATAGTGCTAGCTCACAGAGATACCATGCCATAGTTAAGCATGAATACCCCACGCAGACACATTATACTAACTCCGAGCCGACCAGTCCTTGTTGTACCCATTAATACCGAGCGCCTGGCAGGGACCAACAAGTACCATATTTTAACGTCTTTTGGTATGACGCGACCGGGGATCGAACCCGCGACCTTCCGCTCTCCGGACGGACGCTCTAACCACTACACCACGGTGGCCGTCATGTGTTCATAAATGTTAAAGTAACTTATTGTTGTGAATTGTTAGTGTTGTGTGTGATCTTGTGCATAGACGCCGGGCCGCAAATCCGTTGGAGTTAAGCAACGGTGGTCACGGACATTCCTTGGATGGGCGACCGTGTTTGGCAACTTGACCCCTGAGAGTTTCAGGACGTCCGTCTTGCCCTACAACGAGGCATGCGTGATACATGTTGTTTGTTCAAAATCGGCACTGTTCACCCAGCAGAAAATGGGTACCCGGTGGGAAATGTCACATGGCAATTAAACCTTCCAGCGCCTCACAGACAGCATGGGTAATCCGGGGTAATCATTTCCGTCAAGCTGTAAGGCTTAGAGAATGCCCGTGAAATTTAAACAGTACTATATAAGTAGCCTTATCACTATTATTATTATTATTATTGATTACGTATTTTGATTTTCAGGGAGCGATCATCGCCGTGAAGATGGTGGAAAGAACGAGTATCGGTATCAGCAAGCCTCTACTACTGGAGATTAAGAGGGTGAGTGATATTGTGGGTGATGTTATGAGTGATGTTGTGGGTGATGTTGTGAGTGATGTTGTGATTGATGCTGTGAGGGATGTTGTGGGTGATGTTATGAGTGATGTTGTGGGTGATGTTGTGAGTGATGTTGTGATTGATGCTGTGAGGGATGTTGTGGGTGATGTTATGAGTGATGTTGTGGGTGATGTTATGAGTGATGTTGTGATTGATGCTGTGAGGATGTTGTGGGTGATGTTATGAGTGATGTTGTGGGTGATGTTGTGAGTGATGTTGTGATTGATGCTGTGAGGGATGATGTGGGTGATGATGAGTGATGCTGTGAGGGATGTTGTGGGTGTTGTGATTGATGCTGTGAGGATGTTGTGGGTGATGTTATGAGTGATGTTGTGAGTGATGTTGTGAGTGATGTTGTGATTGATGCTGTGAGGGATGTTGTGGGTGATGTTATGAGTGATGTTGTGAGTGATGTTGTGAGTGATGTTGTGATTGATGCTGTGAGGGATGTTGTGGGTGATGTTATGAGTGATGTTGTGAGGGATGTTGTGAGTGATGTTGTGATTGATGCTGTGAGGGATGTTGTGGGTGATGTTATGAGTGATGTTGTGGGTGATGTTGGGAGTGATGTTGTGATTGATGCTGTGAGGGATGTTGTGGGTGATGTTATGAGTGATGTTGTGGGTGATGTTGGGAGTGATGTTGTGATTGATGCTGTGAGGGATGTTGTGGGTGATGTTATGAGTGATGTTGTGGGTGATTGTTGTGCGTGGTGTTAGATAAAAGCTCTATGTGTGTATAGGATGTGGTTAACTGGAGAAGTAAACAAAGTCAGATGATAACTGGCCACAATCTGAGTAATGTGGCCTCAGCGTCGTTGAAAGCAGCTATAACTAGAATGTGTTGTAACATATGCTATACTTAGGATTACACATTCTTAGTAAAGTATAGATTCTAGTACTTTTGTTGGGTTGAGTCCCATCCGGGGTTCGAACCCACGCCCTTAGAGTTAGTCACCTAATCGCCAGCACACTACCTTACTAAGAAAGCGTAATATAACATATGTTACATTTGACCACTTTCTAAATGACATTGTGTAATCATAGACGTTTGCTGATCTATCCAAACTTTACAAAGAAACATGTATAACTGACAGACCCAGCGATCTTAGGCTGACATCCATATGTTGATACAGAAAGTAACCCACTCACTAGTGAAACCCAACGTGGTCAAAAACACAGACAAAATGTTTTTTAGTAAGGTACATGCAGGATGAGGTCGTTATGGATGGTGAGGCTCTGAACCACCTCTAACATTTCGGCTTGAACACTGAACATAAAGTTTCTATATGTCATTTTGTTTGGACATCATTGATATTATATTCGGCTTTGATTTGTTGGTAATGACACATTGTAGATCTTGTGCGTTACTATGGCAATATTCTTTAACGGAAGATGTTTCATTACATATTGATCTCGTCGAATGGCCTCTCTTGAGCAGATGCAGCAATGTTCTGTTTATGGCAGGGTATTTTATTGTTAAACAATTTTGTTATTGTATTACCTTGCTTCTTAAGGTTCGGCAGACGTTTATCATATTTACAATAATTAGTTGTCAGGAATGCACTACTGTGGGATGTAAGTAGCTGTGGATGCTCACGGCGTCAAGTGTAATAAATATACTGAATACAATAACGCTATGTTTTTACAATAAGTAGTTGTAAGGAATATACACCACTCTATAATCGAAGCGGTGTAAACCCAATTCTATAAGCAATTTACACCACTCTCTAATAGAAACGATGTAAACCCAATTCTATTCGGTAAGATGTATGCTGGAACCTTCTCGAACGGAAAAAAACAGTCCAGATTTATATTGATCATTCTTGAAACTAATATTGCTATTGGACGGCCAAGTGCATGCCCTATCAAGACGTTAAACAAATCCGTCATTTGCTATTGTTTTAACAATAAGTAGTTGTCCGGAATGTATCACTTTTCAATCTTCATTTCCTTTATTCTCATTCAACCACCATCGGTGGTACCAGTGAGTGAGTGAGTGAGTGAATATGGTTTTACGCCGCTTTTAGCAATATTCCAGCAATATCACAGCCGGGGACACCAGAAATGAGCTTCACACATTGTACCCATGTGGGGAATCGAACCTGGGTCTTCGGCGTGACGAGCGAACGCTTTAACCACTAGGCTACCCCCACGCCCCGGTGGTGCAAGAGAAGACAATGCATACAAAGACAAACTATCGGTGTGAAGGTTACTATGAATAATCAATGAAGTCCCCGAAAGGTGATTTATACCGTACATTCGGGCGGTGGGGTAGCCTAGTGGTTAAGGCGTTCCCTCGTCGCGCCGAAGCCCCGGGTTCGATTCCCCACATGGGCACATTGTGTGAAGCCCATTTCTGGTGTCCCCCGCCGTGATATTGCTGGAATATTGCTAAAAGCGGCGTCAAACTAAACTCACTCACTCACTATACCGTACATTCGCTATAGCATTATTTAAGAAGTTGTTATCCGACAATTGTGAATCGCCAATGGTTCTGCCGACTATTTCAATGAGTGATGATTCTTAAGGCGTCGGTGGATTCTTGTATTTCATATGTGGAATGGTCTAACGCGAGCGTCAATGATGATCTCATTTGTCTGAGTAGTTCAACTTCCAACGCTAGAGAACCGCAGACCGTTAAGCAGTAACGCGCATTGGCAGTTATAGATATATGAATGGATCCCTGACATATTTCTCAACATTTTCCAGTAATAGGTACATATCTTCGATGACCATTGTCTAAATGTGTCCAGCCTTCATTAACTCAAGCGACTGGTTCAACGTCAAGTTTGAGAGTAGACGCCATTTTCATGACGTCATACTTTCCCACTGAAGGTCAAGGACGCTGTAGAACAACTCAGTGTCGAGTTTTCGGAGTGATATTGGTTGCTTCAATACACAATTTAGTCACATCTTCATAACTTGACAATACTGTGTACACAATAATTGCAATGATATGATTTGTAAATTCACATGATGAACTGACACGCATCACTTGCGGCCCGTGAAGATCCGGGTTAGAATTGATCTTCAGCAACCCATGCTTGTCGTAAGAGGGGAATAACGGGATCGAGGGGTCAGACTCGCTGATTTGGTTGACACAGATCGTAGATTGATGCTCATGCTGTTGATCACTGGATTGTCTGGTCCAGACTCGATTATTTACAGATGTAGTTGGAATATTGCTGAGTGCGGTGTTCAACAACAAACAAACATTATCACTTGCAGTTAAGTATGATTCAAAAATATAAACTAAGGTAGCACTCTCTCGCACACACTAAATGATAATAAACTAAGTCATTAATACGACGTAAACGTGTTTGGTGAAGATGGCTGTCTACGATTAGTGATGGTGTAATCTTCAAAGTTAATTAAAGAAGATATTATTGCACCATACACATAATATCATATTCAAAATCATTCACATTTCCCAAATATATTGCTTAAGAATTAATAGTATGTATACTTATATTACATCACACTGTTTATCTCACTGACACATCAAAGGATTACGTTTTGTTTGGCTGAATCATAAAATACCTAACTCAAACAAACGACCAATACTGTTTCATATAACACGCCTAAACAGCAGGTCAGTTACATCACTTGACAATGCTATTACTGTTGTCGTGAGTTATAGACTGGGGTTACTTTTATGTAATATCTACTCCTGGTTTCCTTTCAGATCAAGGACTTGCAGAATGATCATATTGTCAGATTTGTTGGAATCTGCATTGACGTGCCGAACCAGTGCATATTGTCCGAGTACTGTCCGAAGGGGAGTCTGCAGGTACGTCATTGGATGAGGATGTAGATGGAGTGAGGCCTCGTAAATCTGTAAATTCTCAAAACAAAATTTATTAAAGTAAAACTGCTGATGTAGAAATGTGTTTTTACGCATTTTGTATGTATCCAGGGAAATCCAAGCTTCGGTCATCCATTTATTTGCAATTATAGATGATTTTACCGTTAACATTAATATCGGATTGACGATGTTTCTTGATATGAAGACTGTAAAAATTATGCCTGTAGTGAAACACGGTCAGTCTGGAAGGTCGGAAAATGTGGGATTTTAAACGTATTTTGGAAAAAAACACGAGCTTCGTTCGTCCATTTAATTGCATATACAGATTATTTTACCTTTAACAAAAACATCCAGATTAACGAGGTTTGAGATTAAAATTGAGCAAATTTAGGTCTGCAGTGAAATCCGGTCAATTTGGAAAATCGGAAAATGTTTTTGTAAGTATTTTGATTGTTTACAGGAAAAACACGAGCTTAGTTCGTCCATTAATTGCAAATACAGATGTTTTACCTTTAAAAACAGCGTCCGGATTGACAAGGTTTCGTGATATTCTTAGCGCGAGATGGATTGAAGCATTTTCACGAATGTAGCCCTTTAAGATTTTAATATTGAAACAAAATTAATACACTGAACATTTTCATGATTGATTAAGGGTGCAGAGGTCACTAACAAATGAACACTGTACATGTAGACGTTTCCTTCAGATATGCAACAGGAGATTATCTGCCTTCTTGTATCTCTTCACTGATTGTTCCCAGAAATGATTAAATGTCAAAGACACAACGTAATCCCTCTAATGTATCTAACATTTGGAATAAGATATTCGTCTTTACCTGCACAGATGTTATTTTCTGTCAGGATTCATGAACTAATGAACGTTAAGATATCACTGGGTTTGTCTGTTAGCATCGTGCGGAACGCCTGTTGCAATATTTCGAAGGGAGAAGAGGTGTGGGCTTGGGGTGAGGGATTACTGGAAGAAGAAGAAGAAGAAGAAGAAGATTTCATTACTGTCTCACTCGTAGCATACATAAATATACATAGACATTAAAATATATGCAGAGTAACTTCGACCAATCACTTAGTGATTTATGAGAGACATAAAATACATATACAAATAGAATTTCATGATAAAATATAGAATATAAATACACACTTGTGAAAAGCGAATAAAATTATTAAGCGTATAAAAGCTGGCGTCTTCTGGCTAAAATGTCATGGCAGGCCTTGGAAGCATAAAAAGCTGGGTCGTGACAGGATAAAATAGATATAACTTCTCATCCATTGTTTTGCTGGTAAAATCTACATAGTTGTTTCTACAATAGGTACAAAGTGTAGATCTGATGTCCTCGTATAAACTAGAAGAACATGTTTTCGTCCTCGACACTGTTATGACAGTTGAAGCACCAACAGTCTTGGAATGGTGTGTTACTGTAGCGACCAGTCTCTTTGTGTAGCGGTGCTATCCAACATCGGAATTTGGCATAGGCACTTCGGTGGTCACGTCTCAGCGGAAGCCGTAGATATTTGTCTTCAGAGTACTCTAGCCTATATAGTTTATAGTTCCTTAACTGGGAAGGGGCGCAACTTTTGAGGGGACGTTTGGCTACACTGTCGCTCTCGTCTTCCTGGTACCCCGTGTGAGGAATATCATAGGGATCCTTGAGCCGACGTTTGTGACGTCTTGGCTTGTTGCTAGCTGACCTGCAGTCGGCGATGTTGTAATGTTGTTGTCTTGTATCTGTCAGGACGTCCTCGAGAATGACGAGATCAAGCTGGACTGGATGTTCCGGTATTCTATTATGCAGGACATCGTTAGGGTGAGTGGCGTGTATTCACACATAGACTGGAAGTGAAGAAATAGCATGTGATATTAATGTTTAGTCACAAATTCACACGTTGGCACAGTCACATGAAGTGACATCATCAATAGCAGTTACATGCAGTCATACAAAGTCAATTGTAGTCACAGTGTCACATGCCGTGACAGAGTCATTTGTAGTCACACAAAGTCACACAAGGTCACATGTATACAGTCAGAGGCACATGCACTCACACAGCCTCATGCATGTCATCGGATACAACCACACAAAGTCATACAGTCATACATGCAGCCACACAAAGTCACACAGTCATGCATGCAGCCACACAAAGTCACATTTCCTGACACAAGTTACATGTAATCACATAAAGTGACATGTTCTGATCCAGACTCGACCGCCATACAGCTGGAATATTGCTGGGTGCGGCGAAAAACTAAAATCACTCACTCAATATAGTGACAATGTGTCTCCGACACATGTACTCACAGACATGTTTTGATATACCTACACATGAAGACATAAGGAATCAGACACACACAGTCACATGACACTGACTCCCTCACTAACTCTTCCACAGGGCCTGGCCTACCTCCACAGTAGCGAGGTCAAGAGCCATGGCAACTTAAAGAGCACCAACTGCGTGGTGGACAGCAGGTTCGTGGTCAAGGTCACCGACTTCGGCCTTCACTATTTCCGTCATGTCGAGGTGGCCGAGGAGGACAATAAATACCAGTTTTATAACAGTGAGTAAACCGAGAGACTGTCTTCTCCTTTCAGATTGACATGAAATAATACAACATGTTACTGCCAATATTTCATCCAAATCGGAAGAGTCTTATTTGCCACAAAGGTTGGTTGGTTGGTTGGTTGTTTAACGCAAGTCTCAGCAATATTCCAGCTATATGGAGGCGTTCTGTAAATAATCGAGTTTGGACTAGACAATCCAGTGATCAACATCATGAGCACCGATCTACACAATTGAGATACGATGCCATGTGTCAACCAAAGACCAATTCTAACCCGGATCTTCACAGGATGCTACATAGGTACTGCACCGGATTGTAAGGCGAAGAAAAAAAGAGTTTCATACTTTCATCTTAAAAAAATTGGACAGTTAGATTGTGTTTATATTTTATTTTAAATGCTGTGAGTTGCTTCGTATATGCTGCACCGATATAACGCATGACATAACTGTAGCTGTTGAGAAAGGCTAGTCTGCTGATCATGAAAGGTGGGATGAGGTGAGGTGAAATTGGGTTTAACGGCGTGCTTGAGAATATTTCGCTCAAATGACGACGTGCATGCGTGTGTATGTGTATGTGCGGCTGCTTATACTAACCCAGACTGAAGCTGGTTTTATAGTGCTAGCTCACTGAGATACCATACCGCAGTGAAGCATGAATACCCCAATCAGACACAGTTTACTGACTCCGAGCCGACCAGTCCTTGTTGTACCCATTAATGCCGAGCGTCAGGCAGGGACCAACAAGTACCATATTTTAACGTCTTTTGGTATGACGCGGTCGGGGATCAAACCCCCGATCCTGAAAGGAGTTTCTGGCTGGGGTTAGAGATACGGGTCAGTGTGGCAGTCGAAACTTTAACATGTAAGACCTGTTCCATGGTGTAGTGGATAGAGCGTCTGCACATGTCACCACAAATAATCTTACTTCATTTCCCAAATGCTTTTCCAGGTAAGCTATGGACGGCGCCCGAGCTACTGCGCATGATGTGCCGACCACCGGAAGGAAGTCAGAAGGCGGACATATACAGCTTCGCCATCATTTGTCAGGAGATCGTGTATAGAAGTGGGGTGTTTCATCTGCGGGGCTTAGACCTCTCACCTCAAGGTAAGCTGATGTCATGCATGACACATGACATGACGTCATCATGACCTAATCACCATGCATGACGTCATCACCATGCATGACATCATGACATCACCATGCATAACACATGACTTCATGCATGGCCCATGAATCTTCAAACATGACACTTGACATCACATATATGACACATGACATCACACATAACACGACGTGATCGTGCACGGCACATGACATCATCATGCATGATACATGACATCATAATGCACAACGCATGACATCACCATGCATGACACGTGACATCATAATGCATGACACCTGAATCTTTAACATGACACACGACATCACCATGCATGACACATGACATCATCATCCATGACACATGAATCTTTAAACATGACACACGACTTCATCATGCATGACACATGACATCATCACAACACTGAGCCATATCTGCTACACTCAAGAGAATCAATTAGTAAATACCATCCAACTCGTCTGGATTCAGAACTAGTTTAGGGGCGGTGGGGTAGCCTAGTGGTTAAAGCGTTCGCCCGTCACGCCTAAGAGCCGGGTTCGATTCCCCACATGGGTACAATGTGTGAAGCCCATTTCTGGTGTCCCCCGCCGTGATATTGCTAAAATGTTGCTAAATATAATTACTAATAGCGGCGTATGTCGTGAATATCGCTAAAAAGCTGCGTAAAATAATACTCATTCATTCATTTTAGTTTTCTAAACCAAGTAAAGGTGGCAGCTTAGCCGTGTAGTTAAAGCTTGAGCTCTCTGTGCTGCAAGTCCAGGTTCGATTTTCCAAATTGACAAATTGTTGAAACCTATGCTGTCTATCTGTGACTTGACAGTATTTTTGTAAAATGGCATCAAAACACACCCACGGTATATATAACAGCGACAATGGTGGTATTGCATACATTACAAAATGATATTTGGGCTTATTTTGCTTCTATACATTATACAATTATTTGCGTTATACATTATACAATTATTTGCGTTGTTGTATTCGTTTGTTTTCTCCCATCCAGAGATTCATGATAAGGTTAAGAAGGGTAGTCGCCCCTTGTTCCGGCCGACACTGGAGGATTATGACTGTCCCTGTGACGAACTTGCTGACGTCATCAGACGTTGTTGGTCAGATGACCCTGCTGAGAGGCCTGATGTCACAGCGCTGAAGTCGATCATCAGGAAGCTGAATAGGTAGGTAGCACTTGCGATCGGATCCACTCGGATCCACTCGGTTCTTTCCGTTACAGACGTAATATCTCGGACAGCAATGGGTCCCTACCACCAACCCCACACACGCATACACACATACACACACAACAAGCACGCGACGGTAAGTGCAATCATCTTGAACGAGACGTTTAATTATTCTTATTTTTTTTAAAAATATTTTGACTTACGGAAAAGAATTTCATTCGGTTCCATATGTCAGGGCAAATTTAATCTAATTGTCGTTCCAATGTATTTGTGATGTATATCAATGACGTCATTTACTTGTCTGCTATGACGCACACGACATTGTTATTTCGCCCATTTTGCAAGGAAATGACAGGTCTCTGTAATGCAGAAGAAACGCACACACTCTCTCTCTCATGAGGCACGAATGGCTGGCGAGGTAGCCTAGTGGTGAAAGTTTTAGCTCGGTACGACGAAGACCCGGGTTTGACTCCCCCCATGGTACAGTGTGCGAAGCTCATTTCTAGTGTCACCGGCCGTAATATTGCTGGAATATTCCAAAAACGGCGTAAACTGAACTCACTCACCCATGAAGCACGGTTTTGGTTCCAGTGACCCTCCATTAATACTCTCTATCCTTCCGGTGGACCATTAAACCTCCTGAAATGAGTTAGCCCAGTCCTTAAAGCGTTCGAATGTCACGCCGAAGGACCGGGTTCGATTCCCCAGTTGTGTACATGTGTTAAGCCCATTCCTGGTGCCCCTCTCTGTGACATTGCTGGAATATTGCTAAAAGTGGCGTAAAACCTCACTCACCCACTCTGGTGCCCCTCTCAGTGAAAATGCTGGAATATAGTTAAAGCAGCATAAAACCTAACTCACTCACTCACTCGTGAAGTAACAGGGTCTGTATCTTGTAGGGATGGAGACAAGGGCAACATCCTTGACAACCTGCTGTCCCGGATGGAGCAGTACGCCAACAACCTGGAGGCCCTGGTGGAGGAGAGGACAGCCGACTACCTCGAGCAGAAGAAGAAGGCGGAGGACCTGCTGTACATGATGCTGCCCAAGTAGGTGGAGCAGGACACCGGGTGGTCGTAGTGCCAACCCCTTTGATAGTGATCGACCCGTGAAGGTCCGGGGTAGAATATTGGCCTTCGGTAACCCATGCTTGTCGTAAGAGGCGACTTACGGGATCGGGAGGTCAGGCTCGCTTACTTGGTTGACCCATGTCATTGGTTCCCAATTACGCAGATCGATGCTCATGTTGTTGATCAGTGGATTGTCTGGTCCAGACGCAATTATTTACAGACCGCCGCCATATAGCTGAAATATTGCTGATTGCAGCGTAAACTAAACTCACTCACTCACTCAGATAATGATCATGTGTTGTGTTATAGTGTCATCTTAGCCAAGTCGTTTGAAGCGCTACCTTGACAATTTATATCTGTAAAATCACACATATTAGTCAAAAGGGTACCCTTGTAAATGAAGATATTGATACCCCTCAATGAAAACTGTTAAAAAGGGGATGGTGGGGTTTTGAGCAATCAAAGTTCTGCCTTATTAAGGAGTCAGTACAATTCCCATCGCAATGCGGAAATTGGACGACAAAGGAAAAACAAAATAGTGTAATGAAAACAAACCCATAAAAATGGGAAACAAATGATCCGACAAAATTCGAAAACAGCAACAACAACAACAACACAAAACAACAAAAAGAAGAAGAAAAGAAAAAAATAATGCATGAACACAAACAACATTAAAAGCAGAAGACAGATGATCCATTGATGGTCATCCCTCTGAATTAAATGCCACAACGTTCAAATCAACAGGGCGTAGAGATCGCGGGCGTCATTACAATTTTCTGTGCCTCTTTCACGTTCCCGAAATACATAACTCAGGTGTGTTGTACGAATGCTTGGCTTGCTTGAGCCAGGAATGACAACCGCGATTGAAGTTCACCTGACCCCATTACCTGAACGTTTTTCTTTCACCCTGAGAGCTATCGTATCGGAAAGAAGTATCCGGTTTTAATTACGTTGTAATCTGACGTAGCACGACTGCTTGTCGATGACGTCCAAATGCAGGTGTAATACAAGCGTTTCGCCGTTGTATTAATTCATCGATTCGATTAAAGTTCAGTCGACTCGTGTTATATTAGATGTTTTAAAGTCTGTGCTCAGATGGCTATCGTGCCGGAATTAAGCGTCTAATATTTATTACGTTGTAATATGACATGGCCCGACTTCTCATCAACAAAACCAAAGTAACGGTGTAATACTGCCGTTCTGCCGCTGAATCAGTAAATCCACTCGTGCAAAGCTGACGTTTCGACGTTGAATTACAGCTGCTCTACTTAAAACATGCGATCATATCCACATACTATTTACTGTACTACTCAAATTTGGATAAGAATGTGTGCAGTGTCAACATTTAGTTTTTGTTCAAGGTGTCATTTCGTTTTAATTAATCACATAAGTTCACAAATACATATTTCCTGCTTTGGCAACAGCTCTCGTGTACGCAATTTCTCTCTCCTCAGTTTCCTATACCGCATCGTTGTTGATTGTCGCGTACAAAGAGATATATAAACCTTTGTTATGTCTGAACAAGTTACATAAACTTTGTAACCTCCATAAACTGCCTACATTCGTCATACTTCTCCGCAGCGAAGCGCTCGTCACCGCAGTTCCTTCTTTGGAGTTACCTCCCTTATCCACACAACGTAAAAGTCCGGTTCGTAATCCGAAACGATCAATGTCTTTCAGTGACAGTGTGAAATATCGCATTATTTCTGGGAAATGACACATTAAGATAATGATATGCTGTAATAGCAGAAAACAGATGTGTTTAATTGAATATTTTTTTTCGTACCAGACAGAAAGTTCAGCAGGATTCTGTACGAACGTTCAGTGCAAAACGAACCACAATTAAATGCGTCATACTATTAGCAAACTGTTTTTTTAACCTGGCTTAGAGATTAATAGAAGCTCCTGCTAAGTATGCACACTGTCATTTAGAAAGTCTTGAAATGTAAGTATATGATTTATTTATTCAGTGCAGTACATATTCCACTACATGTGTTAGTATGAGTTAACGGGATTCGAAAAAATGTAATCCCAGATAAATCATCAGTTACATTTGACCACTTTATCAATGGAATTGTGTATTCATGGCTTTCGGCCGTGGGAGCCGGGCTAATTAACACTTGTGAGAGGGGTACACAAAGTCCGCAGTCTAGACTACCAGTCGTCCGTCTTACATTTCTGTGGATAGGGCGATGGCTTAGTGGGTTAGATGGCGGACTTTGTGTGCTGACTCTGAGGGTGTGGGTTTGAATCCCGGATGGGAATCAACTTAACCAAAGTACTAGAATGTGTACTTTACTGAGAACATGTAATCCCAAATATATATATAATATGTTTACAATATTCAAAATGCAACTTTAGTACAAATACAAAGGCAGAGTAAACGTCAATATCCACCAAATACCAACAGTGGTCAAGCATTCAAAACAAACCAAGGCTGGACACCCTGAATAACAAGCAACGACCTTAAAAAACATTGCGAGATAAGAGGCCAGCGTGTGACATTTTTTGTTTGTGAAAAATTTTAAAGTAATATTTAACTTACCTGGTTTATTCCGTACTGCTCTAGAAACTTTCGGATTTCTCTTGATTCCTTGTCTCAATATTGTTGGCTGGTTGTTTAACGCCGTACTCCGCAATATTCCACCTATATGGCTGGACCAGACAATCCAATGATCAACAGCATGAGCATCAATCTACGCAATTGGGATACGATGACATGTGTGAACCAAGTCAGCGAGCCTGACCACCCGTTCTCGTTAGTTTTCTCTTACGACAGGCATGGGTTACTGAAGACCAATTCTAACCCGACGGGTTTCCATATTGTAAGCATCCTTCCACTGCCCCCAACTGAAACCATGTAGTGCAACTCCAACATTATTTAACACTGACTTGCACCGCCTGAAAACAACATACAGAAGTGAAGTGTGACGGAATTTTGTATTCATTATAAACCTCGCAGTAAATGAGGAAATCCTTATCTTCGTGAACGCCAGGCACAAATATTGTCTGATTCTCAAATAATATTGATTTTGAAATTGACATGTGTTTGGGGATATGGTCATTTTACGTAAGCTTCACACACTGATTGTGGTTCATCCCGTTACAGGTCAGTCGCGGGTCAGCTGATCAGGGGCGAGGTGGTCAAGGCGGAAAACTACGATGAAGTGACCATCTACTTCAGCGACATCTGTGGCTTCACGGCGTTGTCGTCGGAGAGCACGCCGATGCAGGTAACACCTACAGCTACCTCTGTAACTGTTCACTGTTGTAACAGAAAGTTATCTGAAACAAATATCATTATTTCAGTCTGGCGTTTATCCTTAGTTGGTTGGTTGGTTTGTTGTTTCACGCCGCACTCAGCAATATTCCAGCTGTATGACTACGGTCGGTCGGTAAATAATCGAGTCTGGACCAGACAATCCAGTGATCAACATCATTAGCATCTACGCAACTGGGATACGATGACATGTGTTAACCAAGTCAGATACCCTGACCACCCGATCTCGTTAGCAGGGTAGTGCAGAGGGTAACGCGCTTACTTGTCACGCCGAGGAGACGGTTTCGATTCCCGGTTGGTTATAATCAGAGAAAGCTTTTTACGTCGCCATGTTAATGTAAAACGCTGCGTAAAACTTTTATCATTCGTTTACTGGTGCAGAAGTTATCGATCTCTGATTGGTTTTAGGTGATAGATTTGCTGAATGACCTCTATACAACGTTTGACTCGATCATCGAACATTTCGATGTTTATAAGGTAAGTATCCCTTCATTGTAATGTCACGTCGGTGTAAATGTAGAGAAACAGTAGCAACTGTCACATGTTTCATACCATAAGACATTGTCAGCGTCGATGTCAATCTTCTGTACTGATAAATTGTTTAAATGATTGTTGAATGAACTGTCAGATGACCTGCATCGATGAAGTGTACGCTGATTGGTCGTCAAATGTGAAGGTCCATATTTATTCCAAAGAACCCTGCAAAATAAAAGCATTTTGTTAATAACACGTACTCTACAGAAATCGAATGATTTTGACTATTACTCAGCACTTTTAAAGCTATAAGAAATCGATCTGAAGTAAAATTGAATCTGAATCAGACGAACTAGTGATTGACTGGTTATATCCCTGTCTGCTCTCCAGGTGTGTATTGAATACGGTTGTCTAATTTTCTTGTTTGACATGTTACCTTGTACTTGGTCAGGTTGAGACGATAGGCGACGCCTACATGGTGGTGTCAGGATTACCTGGACGAAACGGGAAACTGCACGCGCGGGAAATAGCCCGGATGTCGCTGTCTTTACTTAACGCTGTCCTGTCTTTCAAAATCCGCCATCGGCCGCAACAGCAGCTGAAACTACGGATCGGAATCCATTCAGGTAAACGAAATATGATTCACTTTTACTTCCTGCCCTCATTATGCATTCTCAAATGCATAAATTGGATTTGGGTAGGGTTACGATTTGGTATTAAATGTTCATGTGTCCTCCCATTACCTCCCTTTGCTGGGTCCTGCATTCTCACAGTAGCCAATCAGATTAGCCGTTACAACCGAGTTTGCCAACAAAGATGGTGGCCGCAGCCACGAAGGTTTGTTCACTGTGCGACTCAGATTTAAGGAAAAATCATACAGACAAATTGATAGGCCTGAAATCTTCCAAAAAAATAATCACGTTCTCCTTCTACCCCTTTTAGAGTACCTCTGCAACAATTGTGTTGCCAAGTTTAATCAATTAGATAAAAGAAGCGAAAGTGAGTCATGACAGAAGCCTTGTGATTGGTACGCTCAACTTCCCAGCGTAGACACCTGATTGGATAAAAAGCCAGCAAAGGGAGTTAATAAAATTATCGGTCCGAGCCGTAGATGCATCAAGGTGGAGATTTATCGAAACGTGTACCCTGTGCTGTTTATTTTTTATATGTCCAGTGTGTGTGCGTGAGCATGTGCGCGTGCGTGCGCGTCTCTGGGTGTGATGTTATTTTGCTCTATACTGTGTGTTTGTGTCTGTCTGTCTGGCGTGTTTCTCTCTTTGACGTTGTGTTTGTGTCGACATGGTGTGTGAAGACGGTTTAACTTTCTCTTAATTAATATATGGTTTGTATTTTCTCTCTACAGGGTCTGTGTGCGCGGGAGTTGTTGGGCACAAGATGCCGAGGTACTGCTTGTTTGGCGACACCGTCAACACAGCGTCGAGGATGGAGTCGAATGGCCTGCGTATGTATCTGGCAGTCTTGTCGTCAATCTGTAGGCAACTTGTTGTCAAGTTGTAGTCAACGTATAGCTAACTTGTTGTCAAGTTGTAGTCAGCGTACAGCCAACTTGTAGTCAACTTGTAGGCACCTTGTAGGCACCTTGTAGGCAACTTGCAGGCAACTAGTACTCAACTTGTAGGCAACTTGTAGTCAACTTGTAGGTAACTTGTAGCCAACTTGCTGTAAACTTATTAGGCAACTTGTAGTCAACTTGTAGGCACCTTGTAGTCAACTTGTAGTCAACTTGTAGCCAACTTGTAGTCAACGTAAAGTCAACTTGTAATCCAAGTAAACAAGGGTTAGTGGACTGGTAGTCAGTATCATGTGACTGGGCGGGGTATCCAGGAGACACGCCGGCGTGGTATCACAGCTGTCTCTCTCTGTAAGCCTGGGCAGGTGAACCCACCAAAAATACAGGAACGTGTCTAGGAAAGTGAAATATCGTTAAACCCCACTTCATCTCCAGCCGTATTTCACTTCTAATCTGCATGTTGCGTTATTTGCAGCCCTACGGATCCACGTCAGTCCTCAGACGAAAGAAGTGCTTGATCGGTTCCAGACATTTGACCTTGAACTTCGTGGTGCTGTTGAAATGAAGGTTGGTATATTGGATGACAATTTCAAATTCAGTAGTGGCGTCATTTCGTGTTCACTTTATAAAGGAAAACGGGCGCAATTTTCGAAAGAATTACAATGCACAGGTTGTTCCAGATATACATCAGTGAGTGAGTGACTAAAAATTTAACGTAACCTCGCTGACTTGGTTGACCAACATGTCATTGGTTCCGAATTGCGCAGATCGATGCTCATGCTGTTGATCACTGGATTGTCTGGTCCAGACTTGATTATTTTGCAGACCGCCGCCATATAGCTGGAATATTGCTGAGTGCGGCGTAAAACTAAACTCACTCACTCACTCACTCACTACATTCGCCCTGATGTTTCACCACGAGCACCATAACCATGCTTGTCGTGAAACATAAGTGTCACTGCCTCCCACATTATACCGACATGCTATAAAAGTGTCGGTAACACCAGAAAGTATGGTTACCGATACGATACAATATGATGCATTTTCCTGGAAAATTATGATATTCGCCTACATTTAAATATCATCTACAGAGATGTAAGTATCTTCTACGTGGATGTAGGTATATCGTAGGTAGATGTAAATATGAACTACATCAACGAAAACATTTTCTACTTAAATGCAATTATCTTCTTCGTAAATGTAAGTATCTTCTGCATAGATGTATTTTTTACTTAGATGTAAGTATCTTCTACGTTGATGTATCTTCTATGTATCATCTGCGTATGTGTTAGTATCATTTACGTAGACGTATGTATGATGGTCTACGTAAATATAAGTATGGTCTCCGTAGATGTAAGTACCATCGGCGTAAGTGTAAGTATCCACTACGTAAACTTAAGTATCTTCTACGAAGATGTAAGTAACGTGTACACAGGTGTAAATACCGCCTACGTAGATGTAAGTATAGTGTACACAGGTGTAAATACCGCCTACGTAGATGTAAGTAGCGTGTACGCAGGTGTAAATACCGCCTATGTAGATGTAAGTAACGTCATCGTTGTTTGTTCCTAGGGCAAGGGGAGCGTGACAACGTACTGGTTGCTTGGGGAGCGGGAAGTGACGACAACCTGAGTACCTTATGACACAGCTGTGACGTCATCCTTTTTGCATATTCTGTCACGTGGTCCACCGACAGCGAGGCGCGTGCGCCTGAAGTGGATGATTCCATTTGTGATTTGCTGAAGACTATGGGGTGCTGATGCGGCAATGAATATTTCCATGCCATGAAGAGTGGATATTTGTATTTTATTTATGTCATCGTTGTAAAGCCAATTCTCTTTGATATGCACTGCATGTTTGGCGATCAAGTGATTTACGTAGCAAAGGTTCACTGGATATATTCAACCTGGCGTGAAGATTCGCCTTTGTAGGACGCTGCTCGGGCATAGTCGCATCTTTCCGCCACGTTCATGGTTCAACATTCGTAACCACTCGGCTCATTCCGTAACCCTCCGGAATGACACGAGTGGCAACAAATCATGGTTGTGGAATGAGCTGGAGTGTTAGAGTGAATTGTAGCTTGTTGAGTTAATGGACAGCTTGCAACCGCAAAATGAACACACGCGTGACACCAGAAGCAAGGGTAATCGACTGTTTTGTGGAGTGATGGCATTCCAGGATTTCCAAAGTCTATCGGTTCCAAATTTATTCATTCACCAAATTCTACTCAAGTGTATGTTAATGGTTCTGTATAAATATCGCCCCGGATACATGTGCACTCGATTTTCGTTCTCAGCTCCCTGGGAGTACACAACTCAAGCTCTCCGTGAGGCTACAGGGGGTCACCAGTGACATTAAATACCCGCCCTACCGGGTACCCATCTGTCCTGGTCCTAAGTACATTGTATTGTGTTGTTGTAATAATGGTCGCAGTGACCTACATCCCAGAAGAATAGTTTGTGATTCTGGAGCATATCACGTAAAATAATACCACGTATTTGTTTAAAAATGAAGGCAATTTGTTATTTACACTTCCGGGCAAAAGAACATATGCTCTTCAAAATTGGAGTAGACAAAATATATACACCTTATCACGACGTTTCTTTCAGTCTCTGGAATGTTTAATGCATTTTCCTTGGCAGTTAATTTGAAAATGCCCAAGATTGTATTCCGATTGTTAATTACGATTGTTCGCAAATATAAAACAAATCAGTCGTAAAACAGAAGTTGTCTGAAAGAAGGTGTTGACTCTGTCGGACCAGGCACTGTTGGAATACTTTGTTTTTTGTTATGTTTGATGTTACTAGAGGGATCGGTTGTCTCCCCTGGGATGTGTACTGTAACGCGAGGTATCTTCCCTGTATTGTTGTTATTGAAGATGAGCTATCTCCCTTGAATGGCGCATTGTTGTACCTGAAGGGGCGGGTTTTCTCCCCTGAATTGTGTAATGTTGTCACTAGAGGGATGAGTTATCTCCCCTGAGTGGTGTAATATGGAAATCCCCCACAACTGTTTCATGTCCCTGTGTTGAGCCAAACACGTTTCAACGAAGCCAGTGTGTGAAAAATCATGGCACGTAATCGAGCCACACGGTCGAAAACCATGCCACTATAATGTCGAAACAAGATCACATAAATGTAATGACGTCATAATGGCGTTTTGAAAGTATTCCCGCGCTATATCGAATCACCTTGTAAGGTAATTGCATGATATCACGCCCCTGCTCACAGTGTGTTGATGTGGAAAGGTACGTCACGTGACACCTGTTATTGCGAATCATGCATATTTATGTAATCATGACTACCAGGTATTATTATTATAATTATTATTATATCTATTTGTGCTTGGACCTTTTACTGTTGTTGACGAATCCATGCAACGATATTTGGTTTTGGGGACTGTTTGCAGTTTTTCCAATGTCCTGCCTTAACAAGACGTTCTATACTTCCTTGTACGTTTTTAGCTTATGTCATGTAAATACTAATAGTGCGCTAATTTCCAAATTAGATTTTCTCTTATATCTTCTGTTTTGCCCTACCGACGTTATTTACATTTTAAAACTTGCTTTCTTTATATTGTTCACCCAAATGTTCCTTTTCATCTCAGGCGACATGGCAGTCTAGTGGTTCAGGTGTCGCCCGTCACGCTTAACACCCGGTTCGATTCCCCACATGGTAAAAACTGTGTATCACGATTTCAGTGTCGTTAGACGTGATATTGATTGAATATTGCCAAAAGCAGCAAAAAACCATATTAACTTTGCTTGGACCAATGTATCTCGATTTAGTCACGAGTCAGATAGAATCCCACAAATTGGCACATGTGTATTTAATCTCTACGTTGTGTGACATCGTGACGCAAGAGCTGCATTTGTTCAGCGGAGTGTGAGGTAGCCTAATGGTTAAAGCGTCAGTCGGCACGCTGAAGACCCATGTTCGGATGCCCACATGGGTACAATATGTTAAGTCCATTTCTGGTGTCCCCTGCCGTGACAATGCTAAAAGCGGCGTAAAACCATACTCACTCACTCCTGCTTTAAGTTTCGAGTTCATGAATGCAAGAAAACCGCTTTTACAAATCAGACAAAACATTGGGTATAACACCAACATATGCATGAGATGCATTGTGTTAATGCATGCACGTCATGCATTATCTAAGCTTTATTTGGGGATGTTGATATACACTTTAAAGCATGATGCATTATCCAAGCTTTATCTGAGGATGTTGATATACACTTTAAAGCATGATGCATTATCCAAGCTTTATCTGAGGATGTTGATATACACTTTAAAACATGATGCATTATCCAAGCTTTATCTGAGGATGTTGACATACACTTTAAAGCATGATGCATTATCCAAGCTTTATCTGAGGATGTTGACATACACTTTAGAGCATGATGCATTTTCTAAGCTTTATCTGAGGATGTTGATATACACTTTAATGCACAGCAGGACACAACTGATCTCTTTGGTTGTAAATGTTATATATTCACATGTGTACAGATATATTTGTTCTCAAAACTTAATGTACATAGCTATTTATACTTGACACGAACCCTTCACGTTACAGCGACGTACAGTGTCGCTTATATCACCTGCTTTTTATGTGTATTTCATTTATTATTTGATCACGTGATTTGTCACAATGCATAATTCATTTATAAATCGCGTTTGAACTGCTGTGTACTTTTAAGTCATTTTCTTCTTCTTTTATTATATATCAATGTTGTATATTATTTCGTTACAGTGAAATGATATATAGATCACCAACGTGTTATATGTCAACAGCTGCTCGGGGTTATTGAAATGAAACTTGTGAATTCGATAAAATGTTGTGCTCGTAATGTAAAGGGTTGGGCAATTGAAAGGATACCATGAAAACTGAATTTAATCAAACAGTTACATCCGCTATTGAAAAGTTACCATGCAGAAGTTAGTGGCCTAACATTGCAAATTTTATATCCAAAATACAGGTGTGATACACCTATCAAATTCGTCAGATTGTGTTACTTTGTACCCACATCAAACAATAGTGTGTATTCTCTTTTGTCCGGTAGTGTATAACAAATAGATATGGGCCTAGAAAACAACCTGGCGGTGTACTTGTTCTGAAATAGTCATCTAAACATACATGTATTTGTATAGTTTGTCTGGTGTCCCCCGCCGTGATTTTGCTGGAATATTGCTAAAAGCGGCGTAAAACCAAACTCAGTCAATAAGTTGTACAGTTTGGTACAGTACAGCCATCTAGGTATGGTCAAGGTGTCGTTATGTCGTAATTTCATGGAAGGGTGACCTGGTATGGGAAATATCCAGAAGTGATGCAGATTTTAGCCTTCGTGAAACCAAGACAATAGGCATGGTGCAGAGAAACCAATACAAATTAGTCTGGGTTCGAACCCGTACCGTGACATGCCGGTGGTTCATGAGATGGTTCACCAAGTGGCCCTGTTGTGTGGTTAGAAGATATGTTTACATTATCACATCTTGGTATTATTGAAAATTATTCTTGTCCGTTCACTTCAAACATATCATGGACGTCAAATATATTTGACATCATCAAAATGCTCTTGATTTCTGTGATATCGTCAGGCCTACCAAAGACTCACCATTCAGAATTCATCGTTTTCATTCAAACCCGCCACATTATCGATGGAACCATGGGGTAAGCTTGTGGTTGAAGCTTTCGTTCGTCACAGCGAAGGCCTTGGTTCCATTCCCCACATGGGTATAACATGTGAAGCCCATTCCTGGTGTTCCCCGCCGTGATATTGCTGGTTTATTGCTAAAAGCGGCTTAAATATTAAACTCACTCGATGGAATCAAAACAGTGAATGACACCCGCAGCAACACATTGGCAGGTATTCAGATTGTTGCAATGTCTTCTGTAAATGTGGCGTGTTTCAATCATTCCGATGTCCCCCGCCGTGATATTGCTGGCTTATTGCTAAAAGCGGCGTAAATATTAAACTCACTCGATGGAACCAAAACAGTGAATGACACCCGCAGCAACACATTGGCAGGTATTCAGATTGTTGTCATGTCTTCTGTAAATGTGGCATGTTTCAATCATTCCGATGCACACTTAATGGTGATAGTCTCACGGGTGTAGTTTGTGTGGCTATTTCTATTTCAAGTATGTACATACTATAGCTTGGTTGCTATCTGCCGCCCTTTCGTTGGTAGGCCTGATTGCACATATACAGTCAAACACGGTTGTGTCGAACTCGTCTTGTGTCGAACTCATCTTGTGTCGAACTCTTCTTCTGTCGAACTCTTATTTTGTCGAACTCTTATTGTGTTGAACTCTAGGTGTCAAACTCTAAAGGTTTTGAGCTCTATTGTGTCGAACTGTTATTGTGTCGAACTTATGGTGTCTCGAAGTAAAGCTTTGTCTCTGCTTATTATTTACTTAGTCATCATTTGGTGCTTGTGTCGCACAGTGGTATACTCGAAGCATTTATGTAGGTCCCTTCAACTTCGACACAACGGTGTTCTACTGTACTCACGTTCCTGGGGTTGTCGAACTATCTACGGCAAACCTTACGACTGACCAGATTTACAATGTGAACGTGTGTGTTTTTAAGCAGATATTTCAACAAGTATACAATGTACCTCTTTCAGACATTA